AGAACAAGGCAGGGGAAGTAGGCAGGGAAGAGCTCAGCCCAGCTCCGGCTCTGGCCACGCTGCAAGGTGACCTGGAAGAGAGCAGTTTCGCCCAAGGGTGAGCTGATCCTTTACGAGGCAGGCGGTGACATCGGCCGCCCCAAGAGAGCTCAGGTGGGTACAAAGGGATCCGGTGATAGCAGGTCATCGGGGGCCTCTGTTAGGCCCAGCGTGGGAGTCGGGGGGCATTCTGCCTTGACCTAGAACGACCAGGCTCTTTCAGGACCTTGGCCTTCAGCCCACAAGCAGCAGATCCCAGATCTAAATTTGGCATTCAGTAAAAGCCAAGTTTCAACTCTGGCTCCAGCCCGTTTGGTTACCACGTGTCCTCTGCGACACACAAGCATCCCTGCAGCTCTTGGACATTTCTTCTTCCCAGGTTCAAACTATTGTGGACAAAGGTCCTGAGTGCTGCTGTGTAGCACAACATGCCAGGGTTGGTGGGGGGAGGCAGTCTGTTCTCCCCAGATCCTAAGTTCAAGGGCTGTAAACTCTGTCTCTCCGGGGCTTGGCCTGAATGTACCACGTGTGCTGGTGGGATGAAACTGGAGCAACGCAGCATCTGCAATTAAACTACCACTTCTGCATTGAGAAAAGCACCGGGAGTCCAAGACTCCTCCATGTAATTAGCCAGAGCTGTTCTCCCACAGCACAGCCTGGGCTGGCTCCTGTTCCAAGGGGAAGGAGAGATGGGAAAGTCCCTGCCTCAGCCCTGATCCAGATATGTCATCTTTGAAGCGAATCTCAGGCCCAGCTGGGCGTGCACTTGGCGGCAGTGAGCTCTACAGCGAGGCTGGGGACAAGGGAAGCACATGTTACAGCATCCCCTCCATGGGTTTCTGCCCCGGCGAGGGCTCGTTTGCATGAATCAGCCTTACGCTTCTGAAAGAAGGTAGCTGCCAGCTTGCTCCTGCAGGCATGGGCCTGCGCCCGGGCTGGGAGCAGAGGCAGAGACGCACGGCTTCTCGTAACTCATGCAACGCTGCCTCGGTTTCCGTGCTACCGTGTGCGTGGCTGCCTCCGCCAAGGGGTCTGGAGCCGGCGAAGGGCAGAGGGGGAAGAGGAGCTCAGCTGGCTGGGGGCTTGGGGCTGCAGCGAATGATTTCATTCTGATTTCCGACCCAGGACAACTGCAGCCAGGAGCTGCAGGTGACGGGCTTGAGGGACACATGCCTTCTACAGCCAGCAGGAAGCCTCTCGGGGAACTCCCTGCACCCGGGACCCAGGGAAGTCCTAGGGATTAACACCAGCCAGCCCAGAGGTGCCACTGGCAGCAGCCGCAGGAGGTGCAACCTGTGTCCTGCGTGGTGGTGCCGCCCAGCGTGGGCTGCAGGGCAGGCGGCACAATGCAAATGCAGCTGTTCCTTGGGAAAGGAAGGAAACCAGGGGGAATCCCAAGAAAAGCTAAGAACTGGCACAACAGCTGAGATGCCTAGGGTGTCACCCTGGTTTGGGCGGGTGGGAAACACAGAAAAATCCTCCTTGCCTCTCCCCTGCTCTGTCCTGTGCCCTCCTCCTCCCCGCTGCCATGTCCACTTTGTCCCTAAATGTCCCCTGATTCATCCTGGCTCTGGGCGTTGCTGCTCCCTGGAAGCTGTTCTCTGGAAATCTCTTGGCAGCTCCTAGATCATTTGGTCTTCCCTGGAAGCCAGGCGCCTCCTCCAAAGTTGCCGATTAGTTTGTGAAGTCCTGAGGGCAAAGGTCACGTTCTCTCCTCACTTTAGGAGGTGCCTAGCCTGAGGTCCTGACTCACTCTTGACATTAAAGTTCAGGTCCAAGTTATTCCCCCTCCTAAATGCAGACCAGCTCACAACCTGCGAGCGGTTGACACAATGGGAGCAAGCAGCTCGCTGAGCCCCACTAGAAGCGCCTGCTCAACCCTGTGATTCATAACAGCCAAGTGCGTTAAGTAGGGCAAGAAGCAGCAACCCAGAGGCAGCCAGGTAAGCATGAAATGGTAACCAGATAAGATCCAGAGTAAAGGCTGTCCTTAACAGTTACCAGGAAGAAAAGGGATTAATTTAGCAAATGAGCACACTTGTATGGGCAAATCTTCCTTATTGCAAAATGATTTGCATAAAACCCAGGTGTTCTCAGAATAGGACCTGTCTCTACATCCCCTGATATTATTCAACAAATAGGCGCCGCAGCCTGGTTCTGGAAGGCAACCAAAGGGAACTAAATGAAATGAGGGGAATATCTTTTAAGCAAATACAGCAGAAGCCTTAACTGGTTTCCATTCTCCTTTCTCTCCCTCCTCCCTCACTTGCATAGCGCTACTTGTCCAGAGCGTGAAACCCCAATTCCCACTGCCACTTTCAAATCAAGGCTTCCCTCAAAGCACGTGATGCCCTGATCTCACACAGGGCTGGAGGCTTAAGGATATGGCACATGTCCTGGATGCTGGTAGCACAGGCTCCGGTCCTCTCCCTCTGCTCAAAGGCAGGCTGGCAGGAAAGACAGGAGGGCCTCAGATCTACGGGAAGGGCATGAGTTTGAGAGGGAGATGACAAAGCCATAAGGGCTGTGCTGAAACACCCAAGTTCCCCCCAAATAAGCAGCCCTGAGCTGCAGGGCGAGTGGCTGGAGGAGCAACGGGCTGTCCGCTTGGGGCAGGGGAAGGGGAGTCTTTGGTTTCCAGCCTCCTGGATTGCGGCCCTGCAAGAGCCCGCAGCCCTGAGAAACGCAGTCCCGACCCCTGCTCCACCAAAGCCATCTCTCTCACACACGGACACACGGGGGGGCCTGAAATGAAGCCCTCAGCCGGCGAGGCTGGCTTCCAGAGTCCCCAGCTCCCCACACTTCGGTTCTTAGCTCCGGCCCCACCACCTCCAGGCAGCCAGAGACCCCAGGACTGACTGAACAGGGAGATCTCAAGGAAAATAAAGCTAGCAGGATGCACTCTCACACGCCCGTGAAGGCCTCCTTTCTCCCCCTCCTCGCTAAAAGCCCTCAGATGTTTTCTTGCCTGCGGGGCCCTTGGCTTTGAGGCCCGCCCAGGAGCACAGGGTTTGTGAAACGGCAGCCAGGGCTAGCACAAGCTGGCTTGGACAGGGACAGGGCCAGGGCCAGGGCGCCGGCAAGTGGCGACCAAGCTTCCCACCTGGCCAGGGGACGGACGCAGTCCTATCCTTGGAGGCACGCAGCTCAAGACAAAGCCTCATGCATGGCGGGACAAAGCGGGGGGTTAGGGTTAGGGTTAGGTACCTGCCCTGGGGCTCCTGCACTGCGGCAGGATTTAACCAGCACGCTCCAGTAAAAGAGCTGTTTCTTTGTGGTTTGTGCTTTAATAAATGGGCCTGGCGTTGCACCACGGGGCTAACAGCGTTGCATGAGGAATAGACTGGCTGGGGTGATGGAGCTGGGGCTGGTCCTGCTCTGAGCAGGGCGGTGGACTAGATGTGACCTCCTGCGCTCCCTTCCACCCCAATTGCTGTGTGATGCTATGAAGGGATGATTCTGATGGGGCCGATCCTGCCTGGAGCAGGGGCTGGGCCCTCCAGAGATCCCTGCCAGCCAGACTTTTCTATGCCTCTCCCGCTGGTCCTCATCCTTTTTTAGACCCCGGCCTCCATCACTGGACTTGAGCCCCCTCAGACAACGCCGGGCCCCCCGTCTCCACTCCTTTTGTGACAACCGAAAAGCATCAGAGCCGGAGGGGAGACGCCGGCAGGGTTTACAAACCAGCGGTGAAGAGCAAGTCCGCAAGGCCGTATCGGGGACTCCCCCTGGCCAGACAAGACCCGGGGGTCACGGCGGGACACGAGCGGGTTTTGAACCAAGACAAGGAACGTGCTTTTCACCCGGGGCCGGATTGACCCTTTCGTGGGCCCTAGGCAGACGCAGTGGCGGGCCCCACTTAACACGGTCCAGGCAGTCCTCGGCTTTCAGTGTTTTGTTTTGCACGTTTTGCACTTACAACGGTTCTACATTGACACCGTTGCGACTTCCTGACCTCAGTTTTGGCTTTACGGCGCTTGCTCCGAGGCCGCGCCGCCGTCTCCCTGGACAGCGTCCGTCCAGGCGGCCCTGGACCTGCCTTCGGGACAGCC